CCGTGTCCGCCAGCGGGCACACCAACCGTGGGCGGGTGAAGCAGAAGAGCCACAAGTCGGCAGAGCTGGTGGACGTCGGCGTCCTGTGGTGAGCAGGGCCTTGATTTCTTTCTCTTCTTGGTAGGGGGGGCGGGGCATGTCTTGATCCGGTCTCAGCTGACTCTCCTGTCGGCCTGTGCTTGATCCTGGGACGCCCATCCTTGATGCTCAAAGCCAGCGCCACCCTCCTCACCTCCCTCTCTCCAATCCAATCCAAACCATCTGACCATGTCTGCCAGGCCGGAGCGCGGTTGGCACAACGCGGGCTACATTTTCCCCCTAGGCTTCGTGTCGCGCACCCTCTTCCGCTCCTCGGTGGCCCTAGACCAGCTCTGCGTGCACGACTGCTATGTGCAGGGCGAGGGTGGCGAGCACTGGCCCGGGCCCACCTTCCGCGTGGTGGCGCGGGACCGTCCCGACGAGCCGCTGGTGGCCAAGTCCTGCACGGGGTGCTGGACGGGGGTGCTCAAGCGCATCAACGCCGAGATCGAGGCGCGACGCGCGGCGGGGGAGGACCTGCCGCCCCCGCCCAAGACCGCCATCGCCGGGCCAGAGTACTTTGGCCTCAACCAGACCAACGTGAGTGTGCCTGTGTGTGGAGGGAAGGGGGGGTGGGTGATAGGCAGGGTAGAACCTGAGAGGCTCGGTGAATGGGAGCGAGGACATGCACGAGCCAGGCGCTGGGCAGCATCGCGGCGAGACCCTCGGCCTGCGTGGGCATTGTCGCGGCATGAAAAGGCTGTGAACTGTGATGGCAGACGCAGGGCAGAACTCTGTCGCTGTCATCCCCTGCAAAGGTATGAAAACACTGTACCCCTCTACAACCCTCGCACAACCAGCCCCCTCCCCGGATACCCAAATGGTGCAGATCCAGGAGGCGGTGGAGGCGCTGGACCCGCACCATCTTTGCGTCGAGTACTGGGCGGGCAAGGAACAGCGCTGCCGCGCGGCAGCCGGGCTGCCCGCCCAGCCCGGCCCGCCGCCCGCCCGTGCTGGCCGCGCCGCGGGCCCCCGGCCGGCGCAGCACGGGCGGCGGCGGGCCGGGCGTGAGGACCCGGACGGCACCGCGGACGACGAGGCGGAGGAGGAGGCGGGGTACGCCAGCAAGTGAGTGCCTTTGGGTTAGCGTGCGCGAGCCTGTGGGTGGGCAGAGGGAGAGGGGCGGTTGCGGACGGCGGCCGCAGCTCCAGGAACAGGTGGCTGGAGCCGGGGGCGCCGCTCTGTGAGCCCTGCCTCGCCAGGCTGCTTCCAAGCCAGAGCAAGCCTGACCCTCGCCGATTCCTCCGCCCCAGGTGGTCGGGCATCAACAGGTCGGAGCGGTACCGGAAACGGCGGGAGGAGGCCGGGGACGACGTGACGGCGCTAGGTGCGCAGGGAGGGGGGTGATGGGATCCATGGGATGGGGCAGACAGCCTCTGTGGCGGCAAGACCGCGCTGTGCCGGGGTGTCACTCGGGCCCAGCGGGCCTCGAGCATTCCGAGTCGCAATCTGCTGGCAGTGTGCATCCGGAACACCAAGGTTCACCGTCCCGACTCGTGTCTGAGAGGCAAGGCCTCCTGGGGCGCTGGCCACCGGGCTGCCCTCTGACCACCTTGCCCCACCTCATGCATGCAGACGAGGACAACCCGCTGCCAGACCTGCTGGACCCCATCACCCTGGAGCCGGTGGTGCGCCCCGCCATCTCGCCCTACGGCCACGTCATGGGGATGGCGACGTGGAAGGTGGGTGGATGTGTGTGGGGCTTGGGTTGGCGCTGCTGCTGGGCGGGGGCGTGGCGGGGCGTGCCGGTGGGCACAGCGTGCAGGCAAGGCAGCCACGACCCCGAAGCCTGCAGCGCAGTGACAGGGCGCCCAGCCGTGCAGAGCCCCAGGCCCGCCTCTTCTGGCCCAGGGTGCCCGCCCTCCCAGGCCCTGCGCCTTGTCCCAGCCACCCTCCCCATCCTTGCAGGCTGTGCTGTCTGAGAGCAAGTCCTGCCCCTTCACCAAGCAGCCGCTGACCTGGGAGTCGTGCAAGGTGCTCACCAAGCACAACATCCACCTGCACGCCGACCGCATCATCCGCTGAGCTTGTCGTTGAGGGCGGCCTGTTTGCAGAGCCAACCTCCTTGCCATCCCTGCCTGGATGGACACCCTCGAAAAGTCCTGTGCGCGTCCAAATACGCCCCAGACTTGCCAGCCACTTTCCAACCCCCACCCCTACACCCCCATGTACACTGTTTCCTACAAGTAGACCCGCAGGGGGGTGGTTTACAGCAGTGCGACGCGTTCACTCGGTGGCCGGGGCAGGGGCGCTGTTGCCGCCGCGGCCGAAGCCGCCGGAGCGGAACTCAGGGCGGTACTCGCCGGGGGCACCGGTCTTGTCGGAGCGGTAGCCGCCGCGGTCGCCGCCGCCAAAGCGGTCGGGCCTGTCGCCGCCGAAGCGGGGGCGGTCCCCGCCGAAGCGGTCGCCGCGGGGGGGCCTGTCGCCGCCGAAGCCCTTCTCCAAGGGGCGGGTGGACTTCATGAGCGTGGCGGGGACCACCTCGGCGGGCAGGTTCAGGTACTCGCGCAGGTACTCGATGCCGGAGTCGGTGAGGAACCAGTAGAAGTGGCGCCAGGCGTAGCGCTCGGTGACCAGCTCCTTGGAGCGCAGGGACTGGAGCAGCTTGATGACCTCCAGGTTGGACACGCCCTCCAGGTCCTTCTCGGGGTGCTGCTTCAGGTTGAAGTCCTTCTCGGCGTACATCACGCCATCTGTGGTGGGGTGGGTGGGCGTGGATGAGGGGGGCGGGGGCCGCGCCGGGACCCATGCGCGGCGGGGCATCTCAAAAGGAGCCTCGAACGACAACAAAATGCGCACCATTGAACAGCTGCTTGTAGACCGCCCTGCGGTTCTTCTTGGAGATCAACATGATGTATTAGTGGTTGTTTCGCGTTGGCAGAATGCCAACTCGATTCCCCGGTCTGCAGGGAAGGGGGGAGGGGGTGAGCGGGACACGACGGCGGGCGGCTCAGGGACCTCCCAGCAGCCAGCGCACAGTACACAGCCTCGCAGAGAAGCCCCGCCACTCACATGCGATCACGCAGGCGGAGAATAAAAGAGGGAGGGGGGGCCTTTGCGGGAGACACTTGGCGATGGGCCGGGCCTCCGAAGCGGGGGTGGTTTCCCGCCACGGATCCCGCCAGCTCATATCGCGCCTGCCCTGCTTTGCGAGAGACCTCTCCTGCGCCTTGCATGGCACCCATAACATTGGTGGAAGAGAGCAGCATCCGGAGCTCGCAGGTCGTGGCACGGTTTACACCTACTTAGATCCCATAAAGCATTGTGGACTGGCCATCAGCGCACACAGTTGAACTAGCGGCGAGGGGTCTCACGTCTCGGCAGCGTCCGTAGCTCACCATGGCCAAAACGAGAAGGGTGAGCGAGGAGATCGTGTGCGCTGCAATCAGGAAGGTAAGCACGTGTTTTAAGCCTTATTCCAAACATGCTTCTCCCTCCTGCCCTGCCCGTGCAGAGGAAGAAACGCACGCATGTGCCAGAGGCCGACGCCCCCAAGGCTGGGGAGCCCCGGTCCTTTGTCATCAGGCGGGGCAAGTACGCCCCCATGCTCAAGGACCTGGAGAAGGACTTGAGGCAGATGATGATGCCCAACACCGCGAAGGAGCTCAAGGTGTGCTGCTGTGTGCTCTCCTGGGTGGATTGTGGTTGGGACTGTGATGGCCATGCGTGAAGTTGGGGCGGCCCTGGCCTGGGCAGGGCGCCCTGGACCCAGGGAACCATACTTTCAGTATGCTGCACATACAATGGGCTGGCGGTATGTTCAAACATCTGCGTACGGGCATCGCCATACTCTGCATGCAAGCCCTCCCCGATGCCTCGGGACACCCCATGATGCAGGAGAGCCGCAAGAACGTGCTCAAGGACTTTGTCCAGGTGGCGGGCCCACTGGGCGTGACCCACTTCCTCATGCTAAGCGCCACGCAGCGGGCAGGCTACCTGCACGTGGCGAAGACGCCGCGCGGGCCCACGCTGACGCTGCGTGTGCTGGAGTACTCCCTAATGCGCGATGTGCAGTCGGCGCAGCAGCGCCCGCGCTGCCCCCAGGTGAGCCTCGTGCGCAGGGTGGTGTTTTGTGGTGGGGGTGGGGGGAGGGAGGTTGAAGGTTGACAAAGTTTCTGACACATGTAGCAGGTGTGCGGCACATGTTACCTTCCGGAAACAAGGGACGCCTCGATGCGCGGTGCGGACTTGTACTGAAGCGCGGGCCTCTGCTGGGATGCTAGTTCAAGCAGCATACCTTGATACCTCACCCTGCCCCCCATACCCAAATCCACCACCACAGACGATGTGGCACGGTCCCCCCTTGGTGGTGCTCAACAACTTCACCGGGTCCGAGCACCTGAAGCTGGCGGCCACCACCTTCCAGAACCTGTTCCCTGCCATCAACGTCGCCACCACCAAGCTCTCCACCTGCCAGGTCCAGGATTTTTGATGGGGGTTAGTCTTGCTCAATGCAAAGGAGTCCATGCCCAATGAACGAGCCGTGGCTTCCACCCAGCTATGCACCCTGCCCAGTCCCCCTCCTCTCCAGTACTTTCCCCCTTCACTCCAAGGACCAACTCATTCACCACACCCATCCATTGCAGCGGGTGCTGCTGCTGGACCACGACCGCGCCAGCGGGCGCATCCGCCTGCGCCAGTACTCCATCGTGGTGCAGCCCTCGGGCGTGACCAAGAACCTCAAAGCCCTGCTGGGGCGGCGCGCGGTCCCCGACCTGGGCGAGTGCAAGGATGTGTCTGAGTTCCTGACACGCAGCGGCTACGGCTCGGAGAGCGAGGGGGACGACCCCGACACCACACGCGTCGAACTGGCAGAGGACCTGGGCAAGGGCAACCAGAAGGCGCGCCAGTCGCGCATTAGGCTGCACGAGGTGGGTGGGTTTGTTTGTGTGTGTGGGGGGGGGGTTTGCGATAATGGAGGGGGGGGAGGTTGGAAGGGCGGGGGAGTGAGGCAGTTGGATAGGTGTCCGCGGGTGAGGCGGTGCACGGCTAGGCAGTCTGGAATTTCAAACCCAGGGTGTGAGCAGCTGCGGATCTACTCCTGTATGTATGCGTAATTAACAACAACGATGCCCCCCCAATTGAGCTTCAGGTCGGGCCGCGGCTGGAGATGGAGCTGATCAAGGTGCAGGACGGGTTGTGTGAGGGGAACGTGCTCTTCCATGCCTACATCCAGAAGGACCCGGCGGAGATTGCGGAGCGCAAGAGCAAGGAGGACGAGCGGGAGGCGCTGCGACGCCAGCGGCGAGCCGAACAGGTGTGGAGGATGGCGTCGGGTGATTGGTGATGGGATGGCACTCTCTGTGAGCCAGGGTTCCCGGCTGGGCCAGAGGCCGGGGGTGTGCGGGGAGGGGTTGAGCCCAGTGGCTGCGGTGCACGGCTCTTGGCGGGTGGAGGGGCTGCAGGCCATGTGCAGATCACGCATCTTGCCTCCATGCCATCCTGCAGCCCACACATGTGCGCCTCGGTCAGCCTCTCCTACGTCAATTCCCACCCTCGCGGCCCTTCCCATCGCAGGAGGAGAACGTGAGGAAGAAGGAGAGCGAGGCGAAGCGCCGCCGGCGGCCGCAGGACGATGCGCGCGGAGCCAAGCGCCCCCGGCCCGAGGTGGACGGTCCCTCCGAGGACGACGACGACGCCGAGTACTTCCGCCAGGAGGTCGGGGAGGAGCCGGAGGAGGGCATGCTGGCAGCGGGCCACAGCGGCGGCGGCAGCGGCGGCTTCCGTGGGCGCGGGAGGGGCCGGTTTGGGCGAGGGCGGGGGACCCGTGGCGGCGGCGGGTCCTCGTTTTCTCGTGGCGGCGGCGGCGGCGGCTCGTTTTCCCGTGGCGGCGGCGGCGGCTCGAGGGGCCGGTCGTCCCCTTCCTCTGGCAGGGGCGGGTCCCGTGGGGGTGAGGGGGGCGGCAGGGGCCGTGGTGGCTCCCAGAGGGGAAGCTTTGGCGGCGGTGGCGGGTCTGGACGAGGCGGGTCTGGATGGGGATCTTCCAGCCGCGGCGGGGCTGGACGAGGCGGCGGGCGCGGACGCGGGGGTCGTCGATGATGTTGACGGCCACTCGACACTCCCACCTGCGACGTCACTACCCCTAATACACTTCACATGGCTTCTGTACCCTGATGTAACCCTATACAACGTTTGTGCGATTGGCAAATGGGGGGGCCATGGCTCAAGCGGCTGGGGATGGCTAGCAGCGGAACTGGCGAGAGTGCAAGGGCCCAATCCTCTACATCGCCAATCTCAGCCGCCGCATCGCTCCCCGCCCAACTCATCCCTCATCCCAGGGCCAGGCCTGCCTGGGCCACAAAGGTGGTGACCCACAGGGTGACGGGCAGCGTGCCCAGCGCGTACAGCTTGAGCAGGGTGCGGGCGAAGCGCGGCGCGTCCTGGCGCGTGCCCCGCGACAGCTGCAGCAGGATGACCAGGTTCTGGGCGGGGGGCATGGTGGACTGCAGGAGCAGGACCAGGAGCGGCAGGGGGCCGACCCCGGGCAGGGGCACCGCGCGCAGGGCCAGGGTCGTGGCCAGGGGCAGGACGAGGAAGCGGGTCAGGCCGACGGCGGCCAGCGTCCGTGCCTCCAGCGCGTCCTCAGGCCGGAGCAGGGCCGCCGCGCGGCGCACGAGGCCCACCACGGGGCCGGGGCCCTCGCCGGGGTCCGCTTGCGCGTCGTCGTCGCCGTCGCCGCCGTCACCGTCGCCGCCAGCCGAGCGGCGCGCGCCGCCGAGGAGGCTGGCGGCCAGCACCAGGGTCATGAGCGCAAAGGCTCCCGCGGCTAGCGCGGCCGCGGCCTCCAGCGCGCAGCGCAGCAGGCCGCGGGCCAGGGCCAGCTCGACGGGCACTGCCACGGTGGGATGAGAAAACGCGGCGGCGGCGGCGGTCGCGCCGGCGGCGGGCAGCACCAGGTGGCGGCGGCCCAGGGGGGTCAGCCCCGCCGCGACCCCGGCCAGCATGCCCAGCATGGGCGGGTTGAGCGAGGCGCGCAGCGCCTCGGGCAGGGAGCGGCGGGGCACGCCCGGAGTCGCGGCGCGCACCGCCCCCAGGCCCACGCTCCACACCAGCCCGTCCAGGACCAGGAGGCAGAGCGCGGCGTAGCCGACGCAGGCGTCCGCGCGCGCCCCGGAGAAGAGCGTGCTCAGCAGGATGGCGGGCAGGGTGAAGGAATTGCCAAACGCGCAGGCGAGGACCAGGAGCTGGCGGGAACCTACATCGGCAGAATGAGGGGAAGGGGGGAGGGTGGTTGTGCTCTTGGGGGTTGGGGGCAACCGACTCGCGATCGGTGGTGCAGAGCTCCGGGATCCTCGAGCAGCCAGTGGTGTGGTGCGCAGCAGGGGTGCGAGAGGTGCAGGGTGCCCTTCGGCATCATCACTCCCCCTGCTGTCCCAGAAAGCACACACCTTGCGGCGCGGGTGCGGGCTGGGCCGCCAGGGCGTCGGCGCGTGCGCGATCCAACCCCGCGGCATCCGCCAGGCTGGCGGCGATCTCCAGGGCGGGGCGGGAGGGGCGGAGCGGATGCCAGCCGCCCACCGCCCAGGCACGTGGGTAGGCGCCGTCCACCAGGGGCCCCAGCAGGAGGCCGCAGGCGGCGCCCAGGGCCGCCTGCAGCGTCGCCACGCCGGCGATGCTGACCAGGAGCATGGGGGATTCGATGGTGCTGAGCGTGCCAGACACCCGCACAAACATGAGGCAGGGGATGAGCAGGTGGTACGCCAGCTGCGAAGGGGTGGGTCTTCGTGGTCAGGGAGGGAGTTGGGGTGTGGAAGGCTCATACCTGGGCCATGGGCAGCGAGGACTCGAGGCTCGACAGGGCGGCACATGGACTCGAGGCAGGTGCCGCCATGCAAAGGTTCGAAACGGCCTGAGAGCGCGACTGAAGCTGCCAGACCCTCGGGCATCCACTCTCGTTCCCCCCCAACCCTCCAGGAGGAACCTTGCTCAGGGTGGTGGCGGTGTCGGCGGGGATCCTCTCGGTGCGCAGCAGCCAGGCGACGACAGAGCAGATCATGATGAGCTTCACTGATACGCTCGCGGCGGCGCCCAGCACCCCAGGTTCGATGTGACTCCTGACGAGGTGCAGCGCACCCATGCCGGGCAGGGCAGAGGCGCGTGCCTGATGCGCATACTGGCCGGTCCCTCTCAGGGGAGGGGGTGGGGGTCCCCCATGCAAGGTGCCCGGTAGAGGGACCAGTGCCCTACCACGCTGCAGCCACTGCCGGCGATTTTGGGATTGAAACAGTGTTCCATCCCCTGCGCATGCCGTACGGGTAATGCTCTGCCGGGGGCAGGTGCGACCACGCCCCTGCCAGGCACCAGTGGGCAGCACTCGGCACGAGGCATGCTGCGTCAGCATCAGGCACTGACGCCTGGACGTATGCAATCACACATCTAAGCCATCAGATTCGAAAGAGCATGGCGCATGGGGATTGTGGGTGTATGTGAGCATGTTCTGATCGAGGGGGAGATGCCCAATCCTCCGGGACTCGGGTTCTCGCGCCCTGGGGCCTCAATCGGGTGGAGCGACCATGGTGCCCGGATCATTGAAGGCAGCGGTGGACGCCATGAGGGAGCACACAAATGTGACCAAACTCAGTCCGTGTGTTCAGAGGCATGGCCCGCCCAGCAACCCTCGCTGCATGCGCTGATTGTTGACACCGCCCTGCGGGCCTTCATGCACCTGTCATTCGCCATCCACGGCCCCTCTGGTCCCTTGAGGCGCCCATTGCCCAGCTTCCGTCTTGGATCTGCTCCACAGCGTTACCATAGCCCTGTGAGTTACAGGGCAGGTTATCATGTCCAGCCCGTCAGCTCAACGAGTGGTCCATGACTGACAGGCCCATGGGACCTCCACATGACCACCTGTCCTCGCGCCTACAATCTTGCAGGTGATCCGCCGCGCTTTGACAGAGCAGGCCGCTAGACGTGCCGTGGACGATTCAGAGGAGCAAGATGGGAGGTCTGAAGGGGTTGGTAATGGGGGGGATTCAGCTCAGGAGCCTGCAAGCAGCGGCAAGAGGACCAGGGTCATGTCAGAAGCACAGAGGCAGGCGATTGCCGCAGGGAGGCGGCACCAGGGATCATTGTCAGAGTCTCACAAGAGGTGAGTGGCTGATGCATTGCATGGCACGATGGGCATGCCATGCATCTTGCTTTATCTGGGCGTCCAGGCGCAGATGGGTGGGTTTGGGGGGAATGTCCAGCTTGGTCAGGGACAGCAGAAGGAGCGCCATGCATTGACTTGCCTCCACACACACCCCTGCTGTAGCCTCTACACACTGTACGCCCCTGCATATGTTCCCCCCAAACCATGACTTTCCTTCCAGGCACCTCTCTCGCGCCATTCGCCAGCGCCATGCTCTGAACCCCGAGTACCGCTTCGCCGGGAGGGGCATCCCAAAGTCTTGTGGTCACTGCGGGGAGAAGGGGCACACCATCAAGACCTGCCCCATCCTCCACCCTGATCACCCTTCCAACCAGCCAAAAGACCCGGTGAGGGATGTGGAATGTGGTGTAGATTCAAACTTCAGGGAGGGTGTTTGAGTGGCGAGGAGCGATGGACGGGTCTTCAACAGAGGCCTACACCTGGGGCTACGGCTGCAGTGTCTGGGCTCGTGTGAGCTGGGAGAGACAGTCTCTACACCGGCAGTCCGGGAATGCCGAGTTCTGCCTCTCACAACCGTCGCCTTGTGTCTGCAGGCCAAGCCGAGGAAGAAGAGGAGCTCTGGTCCCCAGATGTGCTCGGTGTGCGGACTGCCCGGCCACAACAAGGCCACATGCCAACTGGCAAGGGCGGAGAAGAAGGCGAGTGAGGAGACGGAGCGAGAGCCTGCGGACGCCGTGTCGCCCGGCAGCAATAGTGCAGGAGCCGACCACTCTACCGAGGCCACCGACAGCCCACAGCGGTAGGTGGTGAGCCTGGGCATTGGATGGGTTTTCTTGTGCCAAGCACAAGCAGCTTGGACATGAGCCAGCATCACACGAGATCGGCTGTCCCCAAAGCAGCAGTCGGCTACCCTCCTTATAGCGTACACCATGCACACTGTCACTAGCAGGCAGGAGGCAACTGGCCCGAGCGCAGCCACCCCTGGCAGCAATGGCAAGAGTCCAGGCAGCGTCGGGGAGCACCGTCCCCGGCTTCCCCCCCCACCCACCGTGCATCACCTCACGGAGGCAAATCTGGGGCGTTTCAGCGTCAGGGCTAGTTTAGGAGGCCCCAAAGAGGCTGCGGTGGTGCTCCCCCTGCCTACCAGCTGGCAGCAGTGCATTGACCAGGTGGGCGTACTGGGTACCTGCGCCGGTGTTGTGTTTAGAGCTTGCATAATTTCAGAGCATGACTGTGGCATGGATCTCCTTTATAGTTTGCGGGGGCTTGATAGGCGCACAAGGATTCTGGCTGGGTTAGGACAGTGGTGGGCCGGCAGGAGACCAGCTGTCATGGCCGATGCTGAATTTTCGCCTGCTCACACCCACCCCCTTCTTATTGAAAATCTCCCCTGTCTAACAACAGGCGGTGGATGCGGTCATCAGGGCGTGGGAGGATGGTGTGGACAGGCAGGTGGTACATCTCCTGCTCCCACAGGCATGAGGCAGGGCAAACATGGGCTGTGGAGATTGAGCTTTACATTTTCCCTGGTGCTGTATTGCTCACGAGTCGGGTACAGCTTGGCATGCACTCGCCCACACTTTGGTTGGAATTGTAGTGATACAGCATGACGTGCTTTGCCTTGTCCATGCGTCCCCTCACCGTCCCTACTCCCTTGGCTCCACATGCAGTTGAACACGGTCGAGGGGCGCGGCTGGCCCGGCGGCATCAGGCAGCAGTGCAGGTCGGCCCTCCCACTCATAGAAGCGCTCCTCCGGAGGCTGAAGAAGCATCCAGACCTGGCGGGCAGGCTGACGCCGAGGTGGCTGGATGAGCCAGATTGTGTGGGTGAGGAGGAGTGTTCTTTGAAGCTGGTTTGCTTGGTAGGTAGGCTTCAACTTTGACGTTCCGCGCTGTGGGGCTTAGGACTACGGGGGGAATGATCGGTTTCCGTTGCAACCCTCCAGGGTCACATGCTACTACATTGTTACTGCCTGCCAGCCAGCACAGCATCTAAGTTACCACCTCCTCCTCTTTCACAGCGCTGTGGCGCAGCCCGCGTCTGGCGGCGGCCATGTTTGTGACGGCCGATACGCTGCATGAGATGCAGGCGCAGCGGCCGGAACCTGGCGGGAAGCTATTGCTTCTCTTCATCAATCCGCAGTGGCAGTCAGAGGGCCAGGTGGTGTCAGGTGGGTGTGCTTATTGCATTTTGAACATCTCCATTGGGGTTGGGAGGGAGGGTCAGTGCATGTGTACTGATTGTTCAAGCCGAGCATCTTCCCGTAGTCGGCAAGAGGTGCTGACGAGGCATTGCGACGCTCTGCCCTTGTGATGGCGGACCCTTGCAGCAACCTAGTCCTTCTGAATTGAATGTCCCGTAGATTTTGGCTTTGGGAGAACGAGGAAGCAGGCAGAGCGCTTTGTCGGCACCTGCGAGGAAGTGTACGTCCTGCGGCGGTACCGCGTGTTTGGCGACGATGTGCGGCTGCTCCGAAGCTACCCCAGCACCTGGCAGGTGATTCCGGTCAAGAGACAAGCAAACCGCTGCTGAGTGCGGGACCCGCAAAGGCTGTGCTTGGCTGGGGTCTGGGGACATTGCTGCCCCCCTCCACCCTTATAGCTACATAGCTCACGCCATCCTATTACTCTCACTTCACAGCTGCACGTCATGGATGAGAATGGCAAGCCCCAGCTGCTGGGCATAGAGCAGGAGGTGCCAACATACAGCGACATCCTGAAGAGACTGGAGGCCCTGCCCTCCAGCAGGTGGGAGAGGGTTGTTGCGCATGGAGACTACCTCCCTGGAACAGCACTGTGGGATGAGGGAGAAGTCCATGCACTGACACGTGCCCTGGGGCCGGGCAGACGCGCCATGCACCGACACGCGAGGTGCTCCTCGCCCAAATCCCACTGTCGCAGGCTGAGAAAAGGATGGCTGCAGCGCATGATGAGCAAAGGGAGCTATGATGAAGCGTCTCCGTGGAGCTCTTGAGGCCGGTGATCTGCGACCGGGGATCCAAACGCTGGCCGAAGGAGTCGGCAGCGCGGCTGGGCCAGGCAGATTTTAAACCAGTCGTGCTTGACACAGCGCCTGCATAGGGATAGAAGCATGCTGCCACTCACGCTCCAAGGTGTCAACTTATCAGTCAGGCAGCTGCTGCTTGCTGGGGCGTCCAGGCCCGCGTGATGCTAAGTGCATGGATGTTGGGCATGATGTCCTTGAGTGCTGCGTTCACGAGTTTGTGCCGCTCTAGCAGGCGTTTACCCTCGAAGGCTTGAGCTACCACTTGCACCTCAAAGCCGGTGCCACACCTGTTGGTCGGGAGGGAACCAGGGCGGTAGGATGTGCTCTAGTGTCATGTAATGAAATGAAGCATCAAGTAGGAGGCATATGTCCTCCCTTGTCGCCAGCACACAAACGCACCCATTTGAGATGTCTGTCACATTGACCTCGGCGTCAGAGAGATGTGCCGCGATAGCTTCACGGACGTCTTCCTCGGACACCATGTCAACACCCGGTACACAAGGGAAGTGCTTCGCCCTAGGACACTTCTGAACGTGATTTCGCTGAATCCAGTGGATGGATCAATCGTGTCTGACCAACAGGGAGCGGGTTGAATGTTCTGGAATGGGGATGCAGGAGTAACCAGCGCCATTTTTGTACGGTACGGAGGATTTTTTGCGCGCGCGCCAGTCTGCAGCAGCGTGACGCTGAAGATCACTCATTACCAGCGCACGGAATGTCACCACAAATATCCCAGCACACGATATAACTTATTAAAAAGAGCAAACTGTGGCATTTCTGTACCGCGTATCGTCGACTGGCGGAGAGTCCAAACTGAGCGATCCCCGCGTGCCCGACTACTCGCCCCTTGAAGCCATGGCCAGCATGCCACTGTGCGGGAGCACATGCTCAATGTCTCACTCCCTAAAATCTCGCCACGTGGCCATGCTTCCCCCGGGCGTGGCTCCTTGCCGGTGGCTGGTCCGGCCCTTTGTTCCGACGGGCCCAGCTCAACCGACTCGGGCTGTGGGAAGAAGGTCCGCTGGGCAGGCGCGGCTTCGTGTGTCCGCTGCGCCCCCGGTAAGCTTGGAGGGAGGAGCGGCTGCCTGACTCTGATCGACGAGCGCTGTGCACCAGCGACTCCTCAGTTTCAAAAGGGTGAGCCTCTGACTTTGCTCCTGTGCCGCCTGTCCTGCACAGGAAGCCAAGCCCATTGCCAACGTGGCCTCTTTCATGACCAGTGACGGTATCATCACGTGCTCACCCGACACAACCGTAGACAAAGGTTTGTGGAGGGGGCTAGGCTGTCTGTGGCTCCACAATATTTGACTGGGTGCTGTTGATGAAGAACCCCTTCACCTTGCAAGAGTCTCACCCCTTTCCTGTGTCATGTCCTCAGCACTGGAGCTGCTCGTCAACCATCGGATTACGGGGCTTCCAGTGGTGGACCAAAACAACTCCATCGTGGGGGTGGTCAGCGATTTTGATCTCCTGGCTCTCGAGGGGATGAGCCCAAGCCGCCAGAGTGAGCGCACGGCCTGGGTATGGGTCAGGATTATGACGGCAAGGGTCTGAGATAGGGATCTGAGGAGTCTGGTTGTGAGGGTGTGCGCTTGCAGACCTCTTGGCTGAATGGGAGACTGGCCAGCCTCGCTGCAAGCGTAGTGCTTGCTGGTCAGCTGACCAGTCGGTGACATCGCCGCGCCCCCCACACTGC